CATACCTACATGTTCACATCACATACACATTACAGCTTAACTACAGACATACCTACATGTTCACAATACATACACACTACAGCTTCACTACAGACATACCTACATGTTCACAACACATACACATTACAGCTTCACTACAGACATACCTACATGTTCACAACACATACACATTACAGCTTCACTACAGACATACCTACATGTTCACATCACATACACATTACAACTTCACTACAGACATACCTACATGTTCACAATACATACACATTACAGCTTAACTACAGACATACCTACATGTTCACATCACATACACACGACAGCTTCACTACAGACATACCTACATGTTCACAACACATACACATTACAGCTTCACTACAGACATACCTACATGTTCACAACACATACACACTACAGCTTCACTACAGACATACCTACATGTTCACAACACATACACATTACAGCTTAACTACAGACATACCTACATGTTCACAATACATACACACGACAGCTTCACTACAGACATACCTACATGTTCACAACACATACACATTACAGCTTCACTACAGACATACCTACATGTTCACATCACATACACACGACAGCTTCACTACAGACATACCTACATGTTCACAACACATACACACGACAGCTTCACTACAGACATACCTACATGTTCACAACACATACACACGACAGCTTCACTACAGACATACCTACATGTTCAAATGACATACACACTACAGCTTCACTACAGACATACCTACATGTTCACAACACATACACACTACAGCTTAACTACAGACATACCTACATGTTCACAACACATACACACGACAGCTTCACTACAGATATACCTACATGTTCACAACACATACACATTACAGCTTCACTACAGACATACCTACATGTTCACAACACATACACATTACAGCTTAACTACAGACATACCTACATGTTCACAACACATACACATTACAGCTTAACTACAGACATACCTACATGTTCACAACACATACACATTACAGCTTCACTACAGACATACCTACAGGTTCACAACACATACACAGTACAGCTTCACTACAGACATACCTACATGTTCACATCACATACACACGACAGCTTCACTACAGACATACCTACATGTTCACAATACATACACACTACAGTATCACTACAGACATACCTACATGTTCACAATACATACACATTACAGCTTCACTACAGACATACCTACACGTTCACAATACATACAGATTACAGTATCACTACAGACATACCTACATGTTCACAACATATACACACAACAGCTTCACTACAGACATACCTACATGTTCACAATACATACACATTACAGCTTAACTACAGACATACCTACATGTTCACATCACATACACATTACAGCTTAACTACAGACATACCTACATGTTCACAACACATACACATTACAGCTTCACTACAGACATACCTACATGTTCACAATACATACACATTACAGCTTCACTACAGACATACCTACATGTTCACAACACATACACATTACAGCTTCACTACAGACATACCTACATGTTCACAACACATACACATTACAGCTTAACTACAGACATACCTACATGTTCACAATACATACACACGACAGCTTCACTACAGACATACCTACATGTTCACAACACATACACACTACAGCTTCACTACAGACATACCTACATGTTCAAATGACATACACACTACAGCTTCACTACAGACATACCTACATGTTCACATCACATACACACGACAGCTTCACTACAGACATACCTACATGTTCACATCACATACACATTACAGCTTCACTACAGACATACCTACATGTTCACAACACATACACATTACAGTTTCACTACAGACATACCTACATGTTCAGATCACATACACACTACAGCTTAACTACAGACATACCTACATGTTCACATCACAAACACACTACAGCTTCACTACAGACATACCTACATGTTCACAACACATACACACTACAGCTTCACTACAGACATACCTACATGTTCACAACACATACACATTACAGCTTCACTACAGACATACCTACATGTTCACAACACATACACATTACAGTTTCACTACAGACATACCTACATGTTCACAACACATACACACGACAGCTTCACTACAGACATACCTACATGTTCACATCACATACACATTACAGCTTAACTACAGACATACCTACATGTTCACAATACATACACACTACAGCTTCACTACAGACATACCTACATGTTCACAACACATACACATTACAGCTTCACTACAGACATACCTACATGTTCACAACACATACACATTACAGCTTCACTACAGACATACCTACATGTTCACAACACATACACATTACAGCTTCACTACAGACATACCTACATGTTCACAACACATACACATTACAGTTTCACTACAGACATACCTACATGTTCACAACACATACACACGACAGCTTCACTACAGACATACCTACATGTTCACATCACATACACATTACAGCTTAACTACAGACATACCTACATGTTCACAATACATACACACTACAGCTTCACTACAGACATACCTACATGTTCACAACACATACACATTACAGCTTCACTACAGACATACCTACATGTTCACAACACATACACATTACAGCTTCACTACAGACATACCTACATGTTCACATCACATACACATTACAACTTCACTACAGACATACCTACATGTTCACAATACATACACATTACAGCTTAACTACAGACATACCTACATGTTCACATCACATACACACGACAGCTTCACTACAGACATACCTACATGTTCACAACACATACACATTACAGCTTCACTACAGACATACCTACATGTTCACAACACATACACACTACAGCTTCACTACAGACATACCTACATGTTCACAACACATACACATTACAGCTTAACTACAGACATACCTACATGTTCACAATACATACACACGACAGCTTCACTACAGACATACCTACATGTTCACAACACATACACATTACAGCTTCACTACAGACATACCTACATGTTCACATCACATACACACGACAGCTACACTACAGACATACCTACATGTTCACAACACATACACACGACAGCTTCACTACAGACATACCTACATGTTCACAACACATACACACGACAGCTTCACTACAGACATACCTACATGTTCAAATGACATACACACTACAGCTTCACTACAGACATACCTACATGTTCACAACACATACACACTACAGCTTAACTACAGACATACCTACATGTTCACAACACATACACACGACAGCTTCACTACAGATATACCTACATGTTCACAACACATACACATTACAGCTTCACTACAGACATACCTACATGTTCACAACACATACACATTACAGCTTAACTACAGACATACCTACATGTTCACAACACATACACATTACAGCTTAACTACAGACATACCTACATGTTCACAACACATACACATTACAGCTTCACTACAGACATACCTACAGGTTCACAACACATACACAGTACAGCTTCACTACAGACATACCTACATGTTCACATCACATACACATTACAGCTTCACTACAGACATACCTACATGTTCACAATACATACACACTACAGTATCACTACAGACATACCTACATGTTCACAATACATACACATTACAGCTTCACTACAGACATACCTACACGTTCACAATACATACAGATTACAGTATCACTACAGACATACCTACATGTTCACAACATATACACACAACAGCTTCACTACAGACATACCTACATGTTCACAATACATACACATTACAGCTTAACTACAGACATACCTACATGTTCACATCACATACACATTACAGCTTAACTACAGACATACCTACATGTTCACATCACATACACATTACAGCTTAACTACAGACATACCTACATGTTCACATCACATACACATTACAGCTTAACTACAGACATACCTACATGTTCACAACACATACACATTACAGCTTCACTACAGACATACCTACATGTTCACAATACATACACATTACAGCTTCACTACAGACATACCTACATGTTCACAACACATACACATTACAGCTTCACTACAGACATACCTACATGTTCACAACACATACACATTACAGCTTAACTACAGACATACCTACATGTTCACAATACATACACACGACAGCTTCACTACAGACATACCTACATGTTCACAACACATACACACTACAGCTTCACTACAGACATACCTACATGTTCAAATGACATACACACTACAGCTTCACTACAGACATACCTACATGTTCACATCACATACACACGACAGCTTCACTACAGACATACCTACATGTTCACATCACATACACATTACAGCTTCACTACAGACATACCTACATGTTCACAACACATACACATTACAGTTTCACTACAGACATACCTACATGTTCAGATCACATACACACTACAGCTTAACTACAGACATACCTACATGTTCACATCACAAACACACTACAGCTTCACTACAGACATACCTACATGTTCACAACACATACACACTACAGCTTCACTACAGACATACCTACATGTTCAAATGACATACACATTACAGCTTCACTACAGACATACCTACATGTTCACAACACATACACACTACAGTATCACTACAGACATACCTACATGTTCACAACACATACACACTACAGTATCACTACAGACATACCTACATGTTCACATGTTCACAACACATACACACGACAGCTTCACTACAGACATACCTACATGTTCACATCACATACACACTACAGCTTCACTACAGACATACCTACATGTTCACAACACATACACACTACAGCTTCACTACAGACATACCTACATGTTCACAACACATACACACGACAGTTTCACAATAGACACGGTGTACATATTATCTTTAGATTTCATCACTGAAAGCATGACGCTTGAACTCACCATTGGAATGCGACAACATGGCGACGTAAACAAGGGCAGAAACCTGGAACAGATATGACAGACATCAATGACAAGGAACAAATCGCTAAACTTTGACTGTCTGTTGATCTGAATGTGAATGGCAACATGATCAGCACTGGGCTCCTGTACTTACCAAGAGGACAACACGAGCCGCCATCTTGCCGTTACAGTCTTTGTTAGTCCAATGTGTTTGTTGTCGTTTAACACTGCGGAACAGCTGTCGCAGCCTGTTCAACAGGTTGCGCAACATTCATGTGTAACGAATAGGCGAGGTGGGTCGAGAAGAAATGGGGCGTTAACGTCGCGATCAAGATCATTGTAATTGTATAGTGACGTGCATGTACTTGAGTCTGTGTGTGTGGACGACTGTGCGTCCGGACAACTGCTGGTTTTATAGCGCTAGCCCACTGAAATACCACTCTGCAGTTTTAACATGGAGACCCCACTCAGACACAATATACTGACTCTGATCCAAACTAGTCTTTGATTTATCTCAGGCAGGGTAACAACAAGTACCACCATAAAGCGAACCGGTATCGAACTACCGACATTCCCCCTCTCCTGGGAGTCACTCTATCCACTAGACACTTCGGGCAGACGCTCTATCTGGACTGTGGAAGCGGTTACATAGATCAGGAAAGATCAGAGGATAATTTTGAGATACAAATTACAAGGGGTTTATTGACTAAAATAAACAAAATAGTATTACTTCCCAGTATTTGTTATCGCGTATAGTACAGGATACCTCTGGAGTTTTGTATGACAAGAAGTAACAACTGAATACGCGTCTCAAAACAGAATTATAAAAAATTCCTGCTGATACAACGTCACTGAAATACCGTGTGTATTGTTTATAAATTCCAACATGTCAGACAAACCAGTGATTGATGATAAGCCCATCGCCATGCGCCGTCGGGGCACGATGACATCACATGAACAACGTGTCAAAGCCAGAACTGCCAATCCAGCTCATTGTCAGTCGCCTGTTACGAATAACGTTCGTGTATGTAGGACGTGCTGTATGAACGAATGAATTGAAAGTTTCACAATACCGAATATTTACATTGCATGATCCAGGTAAGAGATACACTGTCTACAGAAAGATCATTGATAGCAGGTTCCAGGAGCTTATATCTCGTGATACATAAGATATGAATTCAGCCCAGCTGTCAGAGCTCATATCCTCTACAATAGGGGTTATACCACCTAGTGATGTCACAAGTTTTACTTCGTCATCTGCGCAGTCCTCAATACACATGTATTGTTCGAGGTTTAAAGTGTCAAATAGATGTTCATGGAGGGTGTCCTGTGCATTAGCTAAAGCTGTACAACATTTACATTTGTAATCTATGGGGGATATCGGGTTCCATATATTTGATATACCTATCAATTCTCTCTAACAAGATCTTTTCGAACAGTTCGTCGTCTAGAAGTGATATCTTTGAGATGTTGTTTATTCTGGAGTCCGTCTCAACACGAAAAACGATATCAAACTCCGGCCGGTCAAGAGGTGATGATAAAGCTGCACAGTGGTCTGCCCACAAGTTGCACACTTCTGATGGTGTATTGCAACAGCGTCCTGTGTACCTCAGATGTGTATTGACAGTCTTAGGTCTTTGTTTGTTTACAGTCCTGTAGAATTCAGCAATATCTAATTCACCTGCTGAGCTTATTTTTACATATTTTTCTTTTCTTTTCTTTTACAATGCTGAAAGTCACATTTAGCCACTTTATATAGGATATACGGGTCGCTACCGGCACCCCGAGGCCTGCCTTCTGTTGACTACACTCTTTTTGCCTGGCGCATCTGGTAATAATAGAAGTCAAGATTCGAACTCTTCCAGTAACGTTTCAGGTGCGGTCTATAGTGTCCACGTGGTGTCTCGTGTGCACTGCAGCTCCTGTACCAAACACATAACACATGTACGATACATCAGCCTTAATGATGTTCGCGTTTGTCTGTGATTTTGCGTATATAGGAGGGCCAGTTGTGTCTACGCGTCGTGTGTGATACGTTTACAAAATAACTGCCCTGTCAACAGGACAGAAAGTCAGTCGGATTAATTGTCCAACTGAGGTGGCACTTGTCACACCATGGCAGGTTGATGGTATTGTCTGTACTTAAACTAGTACTGTTGCCTGATGTCAGTGGTATATTTAGCACGGAATTCGTCCTATATACATGGTGTAATCTGGAGTTTGATCAGATGCACTAGCTTTGATTGATGAGTTGTTGGAGTAAACTGCTAAACCAGATATACAACGTGTGAAGAAAAACTGAATATTTCTGAGAAGATGCCGGAAGTCACAAACAACTATTTAGCACTGGTTGATGTCTCTGTTCAACATACGGTTGATTACAGTTTTACTCAGGTCAATGATTGACTGCTCACTTGTAATTTTTTCAAAAGTCCTGAGCATAATTTATGGATCTAGATACAAGGTACATTGTCCCACCTTACATTGACAAACTGGCTTATGATTGGTTAAGGAACGAGTAATTATTTCCCTTGTACCCCGCTGAGAAATTAATCGGAACACACCTAAGTCAGCTTGCTTATCTCGCACAAGTATCTTTGAGCTGAAATAAACCGATGTTTCTCCGAATGCATTAGGTAAACGGAAGCACGTTGTGATCGTTTGAGTCGTCTGCTAGCTGTCGAAATAGGTAATTTCAAGCGTTTTATTCAGTGAAGCTTCGGACATATATTCCGGGTCAGTATGAATGGATGTAGATGAGATTAATTCGTTGTTAACCGATCCCTTGGGGCATATAGTGTGATGTACCCTGTGTGTGGGCGTATACATCACGAACCCCATATCGATACACATACGTGTGTGTGTTTATATCACTCAAAACAGGTGCATGGTATATACATGTAATCGATGTTTTGATTGGTATAAGCAGGTACAAAAACTAAGTAATGATCAATTTCAAAGTACTTGCAATTCGAGTGTATAGTCCATTATAATATATTTACATTTTAAGCAAAACACAACGCTGAATGCTTCCTCCGACATGTCTCACTCACATTCAGATTCTCCCCGTTGAGTGAAACATGACATCGTTTTGTTTTACAAGACAATACAAGACAAGAGGTTTATTCAGTATACAGGCATATGACCAACAGTACAGATCGAAATAATAAGTACACCAGCTTGCGGTTAGGTAGTGGTGATACTGTCTAAACACAAGATCTAGTATCTACAATATGCCATGGTCATCAATTCAGGTAATTTATGGTATTGAATGTATATCAAATTGAAGTAATAGCTATTTAAAGTTGTCCCACTTGAAGCGTTCACCACTACCTAACCGCATAGAATAATCATGAGACGTTGTATCCCTTGAAGCATTCATAAAGTGCCCATCTGAATTTTGTTTGTTTGTGTGTTGTTTAACGCCGGATTCAGCAATATTTCAACAAGATGACGGCGGTCTGTCAATAATCGAGTCTAGAAAAGACAATCCGATGATTGACATCGTGAGCATCGGTCTACGCAATTGGAATACGATTACATGCATCAACCAAGTCAGCGAGCCTGACCACCCGATCCCGTTAGTCGCCTTTTACGGCAAGCATGGGTTGATTGCCCATTTGAAACATCACTGAAATACATATTTCATGAATCAAGCCATTGATTGATTAGGCCTATATTATTTGAAGCTTAAAATATAAATATGAGATATTTTGCATGGGAAATCTTGGCAAATGTTTCGAATATGAAGGAATATTTCCTACATTTGTTAGAACGTGGTCTTCGTCATAAATCTGTCCAAGATAACCGTTACTACACACACAATCAAGTTTTGGACATCATGTCTTCTTCTGTACAGATCTATCTTAAAGTTATGGAATGATGTTCTAAATTTACATAGAGCTCTAATTAGTGAGCTATCCTGTAGTTCAACGCTATATGATGCTGGGTGCACGTGTGACTTTAAATCGGCATGAGTACTTGAAAACTCTGATGTACTTGTCGATTCATGCCACGATTGTGAACAAATATATATTAATCTTTGTTTGATGGAAATCCATACAAAAGACAACCCTGTGGTAAAAAAGTAAGTGTCTGACATCAGACACCTAATACAATTTATTTTGCCTCTACTTAGCACCCAAACATTTAACAAATGGTATCATCACTATTTTATGCACATGCCATAGTCAGAATCCTACAATCGACTATGCTTTTAGCAAATCTGTCTTGTGAATATGAAAGTGGTGTTGTTTTATTCAGTGGTAACATGTTCAAACTGACGGGAGACATCCTCCGCAAACACATTGTAATCCAAGTATCTTCATTCTCAAGTTGTCATGCTCATACAAAAACAAACGTCGAAAACATTTCCATAACCTTAAGAAATCATTCTTAAAAATGCAATTTCTAAGATGCTCCCGAAAAAGCGGCGCCGACAGTACTATATTCTGCGATAAAGTATACTTTTTTAGTTTCGTCAGAGTGGGCTGACGTCATGACGCTGTTCAAGTTACCTCCCACTGTCACATAAGGCATCCTTGGTAACACTGTTCTATCATTCCTGTCAAAGAGGGTGCACACCACATCTTTTAACGATGGTGAAACAGTGTCTGATAATGAGTCTAATAAGACAACCTATGTCGTTGACAATTTTGAGAAGGTAAAATAGTCACGGGTGTGTCAAGAAAATAGTGACAATTACCCCTTAAACGTTTAAAACTCTCCTCGTACCTTTTCAAACGAATCCCAACAAATGATGCTTTCTTTCCTCATCTAATTTCGAAACAGAAGTCGCATTGTTGACATTGTCAACAGCCCATGTGTGAATACAGTTTACAACAGATGACGTCCGCCATCTCCCTCACCGTTACTGTAACCGTACAACAAACACACGTGTCCTCGCCACAGCAGCCACAAAGTTGTCCGAGGTGAGCATTGTCTGTCACAGTCTGACAGTGCCAATGGACACAGAACCGGTGACGATCAGGGTCAGAATTGATCTTCAGCAACCCATGCTTGTCGTAAGAGGTGACTAACGGGATCGGGTGGTCGGGCTCCCTGACTTGGTTGGTGCGTGTCATCGTATCCCAATTTCTTGGATCGATGCTCATGACGTCAATCACTGAATTGTCTGGCCCAGACTCGATTCACAGACCGCCGTCATATAGCTGGAATATTGCTAAGTGCGGCTTTAAACAACAAACAAACAACATAATTGGAGTAGATAGATTTACCCCCAAAAGCCTCTTACATGCCGTTATCTATACAGATTCCAATTCTTTTAATCTACTCCCGTATTTAAGCGCCATAAAGTAGAACTGGAGCAACCATTGTGTCAAATATCTCAAAGAACAGGTCATAATGAATTGGCTTTAATTTATATGGCAGTCTCAAAACATTGAACAATATCTTCTTAGCCTGTCTAGTAGCATTTCCTATATGTGGGACCAAGGTGAAAGTTTTACTGAGAGTAACCCGCAAGTCTTTATAACATGAAACACATTCCAGCACTCTTCACTTCTCGCCAGAATACCTCCTTTCTAAAAACTACTTTTGTCTTATCCAGGTAAATAGTTAGTTGGTAGTTACAGCAATATTGTACTATGACCCAATTTGCCTCTGGAATTCAGAAATAAGAATAACATCATCAGCGAAAAGTGAAAGGATGTCTGGATGAAACTGGATACCGTAACTCCAAGATGTTTTGATTTCCTCTGCCAATAAACATCGAAAATAAGTGGGGACTGAGTCCACAGCTATGGGTTTTCAATGTGGCGCCCAGCACCAGCACAAGGCTATGGGGTCGGTTTCAACAGCATGGGTCAACACGTGATAGGCCAAGGTCGGGAAGACCAAGGGTGACCAACCCCGCCCAAGATCGTTACATCCGACTGCACCAGCTACATGACAGGACGACCACAGCCATCTAAACCGCATCCCAAATACCCGGACTGCGGAGAAGTTCCGACCACACCGTACGAAACCGTTTAAGAGCAGCAGATCTACGAGCAAGACGTCCTGTTCGACACGTCATATTGAGGCGACAACATCGTCAACAACGACTGCACTGTTGTCGTCAACACAGGGTAGGGCCTCAACTGCGATGAAGAGATGTCTGGTTCAACGACGAATCTCGAATCTCCTCCGTCGAGGGGATGGACGTCGTTACGCCGGAAACAGCGTACAGGAGGTGGACGTTTGATGGGGTAGCGTTATGATGTGTGCGGCTATCTCTCATCGTGGCAGGACAGGTTTGGTCCATATCCAGGGCAATCTTACGGCTCAACGATACATCAACGAAATTCTCCTACCACACGTCCTCACAATTGCCGCCGACGGCAACGATGTATTCCAGCAGAACAACGCTCGACCGCATACAGCACTGATCACAAGAGCCTGTCTACACAGCAACAACGTTGATCGCCTCCAGATCCCAGGACATACGCGTTATTGATGGTAGCTGACCTTCACCTTGGACTTTTCCGATGTACCGATAACTGCGATGACTACAATAACCAAGTATTCTCTCCACAACATTTTTGCTCACTGCCTTTACGGTTCCTCGTATAAATGTATTTCCCTACCTCACACAGCGTTTTTTTTTAAAGAGTATACTTTACTATGGTCAATTGTATTCAAGAAACCGTTGTCTGATCAGTATACAACTGTCTTCTCTCTGCCACAGTAGTAAACGCATTACGGACTTGAATGTAATTATCTAGAGAATCCCTGTTCTTACACCGACGGAACACATGGACAAGTTTGATTCTCTCACAACGAAGAAACTCACACTCTTTATCAAACGACCTCTGAGGTTTAGACCTTCACAAATCAGGAGTTACTTTCATACTGCTAGAAACACAACATATAGCGTCAGTAACGATATCAACGACATTATCTAAATCATCCAATACTAAATCAGTAAAAGTGTCAAACAGGGAAATAACCACATCAGAGAGTAGGTTTGCTCTGAAGCAGTCTCGTTTTCAATCGTCCCAAACATAGCGGTAATCAACACAGGATGCACGTGCTTTCTCTGCATCAGGGGCTACCGGTACAGAGTCACGTGACAGCAGTGAGCGTGCAGACGGAAGGTGACGGGAGTGGGATCGGGATACAATCTCCAACGCTGTGCATAAAGAAAACACTTGAAGAGATGACATAACATAATCGACAACACTAGACTCATTCGTACTAATAAACGTAAAATCACTCCAAAGCTACAAACATTCAATGCTGTATCCAAGTATTTACACTATTCACAAATTTGCTCTGGTTTAGACATATAATGTATACCAGCTAGCACAGATCATAAACGCAAAGATATATAAGATTCGAACGAATTATTTCGAAACTTGTAAAAGAAAAGAAAGCTATCATCGTAAAGAGATCAGCATAAGATACTGATAGAAAGTGTTAATGAAAACTTAATGTAATGAATATAATGGGGTTTAAATTACCTAAATGGGTGACGTACATATATTCTGATTTATCTAACCTGTAAGATACAAGCATGCTGCTCCCACGCAGTGTAATGAGTTAAAGATATTTATGGCATATCTAGCACATATCTTGTACTCAGCTACGTATCTCCACATTAGTTGATAAGATTGTAATTCTTCCTTTTTTCTTAACACCTTAAATCTGAACGAGCTTTGAATATTAAAGCTTGTTTGTTTTTGTTTAACGCCGCACTAAACAATATTCCATCTATAAGACGGCCGCTCGTACAGAATCGTGACACCACCAGGCAAACCAGTAACTGATATAGTAAACAACGATCCATTATTATTATTATTATTATTATTATTATTATTATTATTATCCGTCATTATATAAAGGAGTTATAGATTGTGTTTCAAGCATTGAAAAGACAATGTCAAATTTGCCACATTTCCACGCTTAACGGCGTATGTCTGAGAAATTCATTATTGAAATTACTTTAATCCCTAAAAACACTTTTGTCTTTCGTCAGTTTTCTTCATCTAACTTAAATATCTTATTTAAAACTAACTAATTTGCAAACAGAACATGAAAAGTTGAGAATGAATGAGTTGAATAGCCTGCCAAGTATACTTTTGTACAAAAGTACATACTATTATTTATATGAAAGAGGTTCAATCCTTTTACAACAGGAGTAAGGGAGCGCTGCTGTAACGCCTACATCAATTTTACAGGAAGATGCTGGTAACATAAGAGTTATCGTTCTTGTTTGAAGTAATCCATACGCCAATATGGAAACTATTTAAAAGGCAGTACTTAGAAGTTGCGGATGACAAACAGGACACAATATATGGATAACAACTTCTTTAATACTGTAAAAAGCGACGTTTCGGTAAAGATCAACCGTTGTCAAGCAATACTGAATGAGGGACATTGTACAGAATATGTATAGTAGGTGGAGTGGAGGATTAACAGTAACAACAACTGCTTGCATGAGTTGGATAACTTGAGTAAGTAATGACAACAGAAGGATAATACTGTTACACATGATGGACAGAGAGCACCTACGTCCCAAAGAGAGACGAAAAATTAAAAAAAACTAACGACAGCGCACAAAATAATAATGAACGAATGTCCCTCATATCTAAATGATTTGTTACCCCACAATAGATCAGCTGCTTCAAATTATAACCCACGTAACAAACAGAACATGACTGTACATTTCGCCAGAACAAGTACATTTCAGAAATCATTTATTGTAGACTCTTTAAAACAATGGAATTCACAAAATGAAAATGTTAAAAATGGGATCTTTGTAGCTGAATTAAAAACAAAAAATGTACCAAAATGTTATTAAATCTCCATATTTTTCCAATTTTGGAAAGCATGAAATTAATATTATACACTCAAGACTTAGACAAAGATGTAGCAATCTAAATGATGATTTTTTTTAGGTTTAATTTGTCAGACACTATTTCTTGCTCTTGTGGTTCCCCATGCGAAAATGCTTTTCACTATTTTATTGAATATGAAAATCTTAAGACAATCCTAAATGAGATTAAACAAATGTGACGTGTCCAAGGGACGCAACTCTGCACAGCGAAACGCAGCGCCTTAGACGACCCGTGCCACCATGTATTGATGAAGATATTGAGGTCGAGAATATTTCTTCATGCTGAGATTTCTGTTCAAGCAGATGGGAGCTAGGAACTAGACATAGTGTTTACTCTCGCGTGTCACATTATCGTGCTTACCGCCGTGCAGCAATATGAATACAAGTGCGTTAGAGTAGAACCATTTCCTCGCTATCCGAATTGGAACGCTATCAGAACTTGATGCGTTTCAGATCCTAGATCACGAAATGATTTCTCTTTTACATGTCACCTTGCTCATCAACAGTCGCTAGCTTCCTGTTGTTCTATTGATTTATTCACAATTACTTAGGCCTAATTATTTTGCTGGTGTACGTTGGATCAATATTGCCGACCAGCGTTTTTCAACCAATCATTTGTCAGCATACCTGCCCATTTTTTTCACAATGTGTCTTTGTGTGGCCTCCGCATCAGTGATATATGAACCGGTTTAGGAAACCAGATATAGCATCTACCCGTGTGGCCATGCATGAATCATTCTACTGTAACACGGCCATGCCTTATAGCGCATCGCATCATAGCGTGTTTTTGGTTTTGTAACCGTTATTGATTTATGTAGATGCAAATGAAACGACAGCTGTTGGTCTTGTTGAGTCAGTCACATTGTGAACGCGGACGGAAAGTGAAGGTTGTAAGAGATATTGTGCAATACTGTCAATAAGTAGTGAGTACGGTACCGGGATACCCCAAGACTGCATTCACTCGCATCCTCAAGTCCCCCATCTCTCACCATGGCTACGACAACGCTGGCTGTTGTGTGCTTCCTGTATAGTCTACATCTCATGGTGCTAGGTGAGTTCAACTACGGCAATACAGTGTTAGAACTAAACTCAAACCTTTACTGATCTTTACTGGGCTAGCCCGGCTGAAGGTAACACGCCCTTGTAATCTAGCGGAGAGCTGCGATAGGGTCCTTCAGTCAAAACATAGCTAGGGTCATGTTTAGACTGTTGGATTACATCGCAGCTCTCGGTTTCATTGTAATGTTAATAGGGACATGTGTACTAGTTCAGGGGATTCGCCGATGCTACGTTGATGATACTGTGTTATCTAACTCTGGATTTTGGAGCACCTTTAGAATACAGTACCACATTAGTCTGGTCATTTTGGTCGAAATAAATGGCCAACCTCAAGAAAATTGCAACAGAATTAATTCATACTTTATGTTATTTGGTAGCATGTCAGCTTTCAGGAAAAAAAGGTCTACCAAAATCAACTCATGGGAATGACCTTTCTCAAGGTCACAAGACATAGGCCTTATATAATTCGTATTTTCGTATTCTTTGATATTTGTAGGAAGGAAGAGATTCAAATTTATTATAGTTTTCTTTCTAATATAACTAAATTTAAGAACAATCTGGGTATACAACTTTTATTTTTACTTTCTAAAAAATATCACAGGGACAATTTAATTCATTAATAGTTCAAGGTCAAATAGAGGACATATATGAAGAGTGGCCGAGAAGTTAAATGTTGCCATAGATTTTCAAGTATTGGAATAAAGTCATACATATTATATTCAAATGTAAGATAATCACACTTCATATATCATCTTAAGAACTTAATGTACTTATTGTGGAAGAAACCACCTTATTGTGTGTGTGTGTGTGTGGGGGGGGGGGGGGGACAGTCATACATAGCCATTAATAATTGTAGCCGGTGACAGTCTGAGGTAACAATGAGCAAGCCTCCAAGCCTCCGACGGAAATATTTGCTATTTTATGTTATTTGGATGCAAGTTTTGTCGTTTATATAATTCCAAAGACAATGGATTTTGATAAGTCAAGTGTCCTTCAATACAAGTTTTACAATTTCGTACAAGTAATACTATTTTGTCCGTAGAATGTTCCTTTGATTGAGACTCTGCCCGATTTGTCACTCGCGTACAAGGGGAAATGAATATCATTTGTTCCAGTATACTTGTTTTAGATTTGAAAGAAAATTATTACCAAACTATTGTCGTATAAATCCCAACTTTTATAAACTACGATGCTTATTCACAACTACTGATAGTTGAACACTCATTCGTTTAAGCAAGTATATTGGTTGCATATTTCAGAAGTTACTTTTGTTGTTGTTGTATAATGCCGCACTCAGCAATATTGCAGCTATATGACGGCGGCCAGTAAATAATCGAGTCTGGACCAGACAATCCAGTGATTGACATCATGAGCAGCGATCCACGCAATTGGGATCGATGACATGCATCAACCAAGTCAGCGAGCCTGACCACCCGATCCCGTTAGTAGTCGCCTTTAACGACAAGCACAGTCGCCTTTTACTGCAAGTATATATGATACTGTGATGTTGTTGTGCTAGATGTAAATAATATAACGTAGCTGTAGTTTCGAAAGATAATCCAGTAATAAAACACTTACAGAACAATAATCATCTTTAATGTCAATTATATCATGTATGCTATTTCTCATATCACTTTAATACATTGTAATTTGTATGTGTATCATGTTTGGGAGAGGCATTCAGATAAGCAAAATTTGCTTGTTTGCCAATCCCTCCACTTTATGGAAATAAATATGTTAATATCATAAAGAACTGAAACTTGGTACCGCATGGGTAGTTGGCCGACTATAGTCTATTCTGGTGAAAGGGGCCGCGGCGAAACTCATGTCAGCCGGTTATCTATTACTGTCGCTGATACGCTGAGTGAACACAGGCTATACTGACTATAGATTCATTTATTTTAGTGAGCGAATCTATTCAATTTGAGTATAAGTACAAGATAATTATAGACTATTGCATAGCATAGCAATATGGCAAACGCTCAAGTGAGTGAGTGAGTATGGTTTTACGCCGCTTTTAGCAATATTCCAGTTATATCAGGGCGGGGGGCACCTGAGTGAGTGAGTTGGGTTTGACAGTATTCCAGTTATATCACGGCGTGTCAGCTTAATGTGGAAGGAAAGCCCGAAGTGATGCAGGTCTTAGACGTTTACCTCTTCGGTGAAACCCACGAGCACGGGTATGGTGCTGACAAACCTAGAAACGTTATCGGGGCGAACAGGGATTCGAACCCACAATCATAGGTTTCTGGAGTGCCCAAAGGACGCAACTCTGCACAGCGAATCGCGGCGCCTTAGACGATTGGGCCACCCGTGCCCCCGAGAGCAATCTCATTAAAATCAGATCAGAAATTTAAAACTGATAAGAAGAACACTCTGGAATGGCTTATAGATGGCCTAGATTGTATGGATATAATCATAAAACCCGTAACTGTCGTTCGGAATACCCCGTGTCAAATATTTCGTGGTTGCATGATTAGAAAACACATTCCTACTGTCACTTTCATGATCTGGTAAGCGACGCTCTGATTGGTCGGATGAAAGGTCGTTCTGACGCGACCCCTAATGGGATGTCCTCAGATCTTTGTTTGGCGATAGCGAGTATAAAGATTTGACTTTAATGAGATTGCCCCGAGGGACACCAGAAATGGGCTTCACGCATTGCACCCATGTGGGGAATCGAACCCGGGCCTTCGGCGAATAAACACACAAGTGCCTCGCTGTATTCCAAACAATCTTTGGGGACAGTATTTGGTCTACTCCTGCTACAAATTTAGTTTCAAGTCAAGAAACGGAGACAGAATCCACTGGCGCTGTTGTCTGAGATCATGCCGTTCCAGAATGGTAGCCGTAATTCTGAAAGAAGAAAAATGTCTTACAGCATCGTGCCAAAAGAGAGTAAAGTTGTTTAAATTCCTATATATTTCAAGTAATAACATCTGCATTTGCTGAATTTTCCTGGTTCCGTTTTTCACCAATTTCCCAGACAAAAAAAAAGTTACAAGCCGGTTAAAAGAGTTAATTTTGTGATTTTAAACAGTAAAACAAATTCACTCAAGACGAGAAATGTCAATATCGGGTGTTTTAGAAATAGGTAACTTGTTCCGATATCAATATTGTCAAGATTGGTTGTAAAACGTAATGAATTTAATGAATTGCAAATTACGTACGCATTACGCAACTGATTATACATCATGTCACTCATGGGCTTCCATACATTTTTTATTTTATCAAAGAGGGTCCACTTTTCGATATAATTTTTCACATATTTATGTTTCTAACAATTGTAACAATGTTGGATGAATTTATAAAAGACAGGAATATGGTTATCGGTCGTGTTTGACACACATGTTCTCTGCTGGTGCAGCCCTAGTTACATAGCAGACGACGCTACACAATTTATGGTTGACGGGCATGTTAGAAGTATATTGGAAGCCAACTGCTATTATTTTCATCATTATTAATTACATTTTTAAATAAATGTTTATTTGTCAACTTACCATGAAATAATACGGCTCCGTTAGCGTTGTTTTTTTCTGAATATTTTCCAAGGCACTAGCAGGATCACTACGAATTATCTCCCTTTGCGAGCTCTTCTTGATGTACGGCGGCCCGTAGATGCTATATTCTCCTCGTTGGTTTTTATCTTTTTTGATGCGGGAATTAACCATTTTCCCCGAAGGTTGATTTTGGTAGACTTTTTGATACAAACTCAAATACATTCAATTAAAAGGAAACAGTCGTAAAATATTCTGCAATTTTCTTGAGGTTAAATTACAGAATGACCAGACTACATGTACAACTTCTCGTGAGGACGATCTCTGTCGTAGGTCACGTGTCTCAAAGACAAGCAACCAGCTTCTGTGGGCTTTTGTCCTATTTCGTTATCTTCATGTACAAGAGTGGTGAGGAATGAGCCGATATGGGGAGAACAGGGTACGGCTCTTGGGATGTAATAATTCTCTGGGTGATTTTTGTGACAGAAAAGTGTGATCTGGAACACTGTATGGATAATGTGGATAACTGTTAGGAACAAGGGAGGCATGAGCATTGCTAGTGACGACACAAGGGTGAGTTCGCTTTTGAATCAGTACTGAAAATATGTAGCTGGTGAAAGTGGCTTGTGTGAATGTTCCAGGACAGTTTCCAATAGCCAAAATATTCGACACTTAACCATTTCATCCTATTTTCTCGACGTTTTTGTGTGAAGAATATTAGGAGCAGCTATAGAACCAATGATAGGTCACTATAAACAGGTACCTTACCCAAATGATAGTAAAGGGTGATTAATCGTATAGGGGATCCAAGGGCTAAGGATAGCGTTCGGGGTAACCTGCACTAACACAGGCGACATTTGGATGTGTTCAGCGCCAATATAATATTTAAGGACCGAACAGATAATATATGTATATTAGTTCCTATTTATCATCATTTTAGCCACTTGAATTACGAAAGAACAAAATAAAAAATATATAGCCGCAGGCTATATTTTGTGAACAAATATTCAAAACTCTCAACATCGCTGGGCCTATTCAATGACATTGCGTGTAGAGATGATAGATCACTGGGTGGAGCTTATGCACACTCGATGACCCCTAACGTCACAGGGCATTGTTTCGTAGGTGTGACTGGCAAAAAAACAAACTAAGAATTACGTCATAGGGTATTGTGACGTGTTTGAAAAGTTTGTGGTACTGTATTCTAAAGGTAGGCCAATTTTTTAAAGACCCGTGGACATCATGAACATAGTTGTCACGTGTGCTATCTCGGCTGACCAATCAGACTCGACACCTATGTGAAACACCTGAAGCGAACTTATGTGGTCAGTTGGGAAACGAAATTGGGTCATAATATCACAAAATGCTGTATATATTTTAAAATATTAGATTGTTACAAAGACACGTGACATTGGACAAGTTGTTTTTGTTCCTTTATGTGGAAATCTGCGGACACATTTCTCAAACAAGGTAACTGCCTGATATTACACATATAACTTTTGTCGGCTGTAATTACGATTTTTGCATTTTGTTTTCATACATTTGCTGTAGCAAGAACACGGGAGGCCTCAACGGCAATTGATCAAATTGTTCCATACACATATCACATATCCGGCAATCAGTTGTTCCAAAGTGCTTCACTTATAGTTATTATTATTTTACATATACGTAGTAAAATCTGGAACTGAAATACCTCGATGTTGCAATATTTTATATCCGATAAAATATTGGTTTCAGATATTATTCATCCGATCATTGCATCAATATTCTTTGAAGTATTTTTTATTGTGTATTTTTTTAACCGAATCACCAGTAGATTGGTAGAAAATATGTACAGCTGATTGCTATATCCAGCTTAGTTCACGAGAAAATACACTCGTAAAATTATAATTCTGCATATAAAACATTGCCTAGCAGAACGGAAAATACAATTTAAATGGTAAATCATCATGTTTAGTGCTAATTTATCTGAATTTCACATTTTCTATTGATGAAGAGTGTTATCACTTTGTCATTATATCAGAGGAATATGTAGGTTTTTGATATTCAATGTTGACCGATATTTCCATCCCTTTCGAGTCGTACATGCATTAATCAACAACGAAACACATGTCAGTTTGGCTGCAGCCCTTACTGTATACCTTTGTTATGATATACGGCTTCTCATTCTTCGATCCTCCAATAGGTGTCGCTTCACACATCGCAGCGAGAATAGCACCGAACACAAGTCGAGCCAATTGAAAGTATAGTCCATAATAAGGAATTTTGAATCCATGAAGACAATGCCGATCCATATATACAAACTTTCCAAATTGGAGTGTTGTTTCCCTTTAACGCTAGGTACTATGTGTGTCTTCTGGCCATACTTCTACTTCATTCCAGGTGACGACGTGAAGGAAGTGAAGACGTGTACCTCCGATGCCAATACTACATTCAGTATCACCTGCCAGGAACAGGAGATGATGTATTTCCTCTATACAAATTTGCAAGATATGACAGACGATTGTAAGTCTGGCAGCTGCTCTTTCCGACTCTCCGTCAGTACTGACAGTGACTGCACCGGTGTCAGAGCGTGTGAGAAGACAGTGAGGAAAAGCTGGGGAGATGGCAGTTGTAACAAGACGACCAACTTCTATCAACCTACGTTATTATATGAGTGTATTTCTGGTATGTATTGTCTGCATATTGCTTTATTTGTTTGATTGTCACCCACTCAGCCTGGTCACACACTCAGCCAGGTCACACACTCAGCCAGGTCACACACTCAGTCAGGTCACACACTCAGTCAGGTCACACACTCAGTCAGGTCACACACTCAGCCAGGTCACACACTCAGGTCACACACTCAGCCAGGTCACACATGCAGTAAGGTCACACACTCAGTCAGGTCACACACTCACTCACTCACACACATGCAGTCAGGTCACACACTCAGCCAGGTCACACATGCAGTCAGGTCACACACTCAGCCAGGTTACACACTCAGGTCACACACTCAGCCAGGTCACACATGCAGTAAGGTCACACACTCAGTCAGGTCACACACTCACTCACTCACACACATGCAGTCAGGTCACACACTCAGCCAGGTCACACATGCAGTCAGGTCACACGTTCAGCCAGGTCACACACCCACAAACTCACACACATGCAGACAGATCACACACCCACTCACTCACACACATGCAGTCAGGTCACACACTCAGCCAGGTCCCACGCTCAGTCATGTCACACATGCAGTCAGGTCACTAACTCAGCCAGGTCACACACTCAGGTCACACACTCAGCCAAGTCACACATGCAGTAAGGTCACACACTCAGTCAGGTCACACACTCAGCCAGGTCACACACGCAGTCAAGTCATACACCCAGTCAAGTCACACATGCAGTCAGGTCACACATGCAGCCTGGTCACACACGCAGTCAGGTCACACACTCAGCCAGGTCACACACATGCAGTCAGGTCACACATGAAATAAGGTCACACACTCAGTCAGGTCACACAACCACTCACTCACATACATGCAGTCAGGTCACACACTCAGCCAGGTCACACATGCAGTCAGGTGACACGCTCAGCCAGGTCACGTGCACACATGCAGTCAGGTAACACACTCAGCCAGGTCACACATGCAGTCAGGTCACACACTCACTCACTCACAAACATGGAGTCAGGTCACACACTCAGCCAGGTCACACATGCAGTCAGGTCACACACTCAGCCAGGTCACACACCCACTCACTCATACACATGCAGTCAGGTCACACACTCAACCAGGTAACACACTCAGTCAGGTCACACACTCAGTCAGGTCAAACATGCAGTCAGGTCACTTTCTCAGCCAGGTCCCACACTCAGGTCACACATTCAGCTAGGTCACACACTCAGTCAGGTCACACATTCAGTCAGGTCAAACACGCAGTCAGGTCACACACTCAGCCAGGTCACACACTCAGTCAGGTCACACATGAAGTAAGGTCACACACTCAGTCAGGTCACACACCCACTCACTCACATACATGCAGTCAGGTCACACACTCAGCCAGGTCACACACTCAGTCAGGTCACACACTCAGCCAGGTCACACACTCACTCACTCACACACATGCAGTCAGGTCACACACTCAGCCAGTTCACACATGCAGTCAGGTCACACGCTCAGCCAGGTCACACACCCACTCACTCACACACATGCAGTCAGGTCACACACTCAGTCAGGTCACACACACACTCACTCACACATATGCAGTCAGGTCACACGCTCAGTCAGGTCACACACCCACTCACTCACACACATGCAGTCAGGTCACACGCTCAGCCAGATCACACATGCAGTCAGGTCACACGCTCAGCCAGGTCACACACTCAGTCAGGTCACACGCTCAGCCAGGTCACACGCTAAGTCAGGTCACACACTCAGTCAGGTCACACACTCAGCCAGGTCACACACTCAGTCAGGTCACACACTCAGTCAGGTCACACGCTCATCCAGGTCACACACTCAGTCAGGGCACACACTCAGTCAGGTCACACACTCAGCGAGGTCACACACTCAGTCAGGTCACACACTCAGTCAGGTCACACACCCACTCACTCACACACATGCAGTCAGGTCACACACTCAGTAAGGTCACACACCCACTCACTCACACACATGCAGTCAGGTCACACACATGCAGTCAGGTCACACACGCAGTCAGGTCACACACTCAGCCAGGTCACACACATGCAGTCAGGTCACACATGAAATAAGGTCACACACTCAGTCAGGTCACACACCCACTCACTCACATACATGCAGTCAGGTCACACACTCAGCCAGGTCACACATGCAGTCAGGTGACACGCTCAGCCAGGTCTCACATGCAGTCAGGTCACACACTCAGCCAGGTCACACATGCAGTCAGGTCACACACTCACTCACTCGCAAACATGGAGTCAGGTCACACACTCAGCCAAGTCACACATGCAGTCAGGTCACACACCCACTCACTCATACACATGCAGTCAGGTCAAACACTCAGCCAGGTCACACACTCAGTCAGGTCACACACTCAGTCAGGTCACACATGCAGTCAGGTCACTTTCTCAGCCAGGTCACACACTCAGCTCACACATTCAGCTACGTCACACACTCAGTCAGGTCACACATTCAGTCAGGTCACACACGCAGTCAGGTCACACACTCAGCCAGGTCACACACATGCAGTCAGGTCACACACTCAGTGACACATGAAGTAAGGTCACACACTCAGTCAGGTCACACACCCACTCACTCACATACATGCAGTCAGGTTACACACTCAGCCAGGTCACACACGCAGTCAGGTCACACACTCAGCCAGGTCACACACTCACTCACTCACACACATGCAGTCAGGTCACACACTCAGCCTGGTCACACACGCAGTCAAGTCATACACCCAGTCAAGTCACACATGCAGTCAGGTCACACATGCAGCCTGGTCACACACGCAGTCAAGTCACACATGCAGCCTGGTCACACACACAGTCAGGTCACACCCACAGTGAATTCACATACACAGTCAAGTCACACATGCAGCCTGGTCACACACACAGTCAGGTCACACACACAGTCAGATCCCACAGGTCCCACACTCAGCCTGGTCACACACGCAGTCAAGTCACACATGCAGTTAGGTCACACATACTTGGACAGGTCACACACTCAGCCTGGTCACACACGCAGTCAAGTCACACATGCAGTCAGGTCACACACACTGTCAAGTCACACATGCAGGCTGGTCACACACACAGTCAGGTCACACACACACAGTCAGGTCACACACACAGTCAGATCCCACAGGTCCCACACTCAGCCTGGTCACACACGCAGTCAAGTCACACATGCAGTTAGGTCACACATACGTGGTCAGGTCACACATACGTGGTCAGGTCACACACTCAGCCTGGTCACACACGCAGTCAAGTCACACATGCAGTCAGGTCAAACACGCAGTCAGGTCACACATGCAGTCAGGTCACACACTCAGGTCATAAACTCAGCCTGGTCACACACGCAGTCAGGTGACACACTCAGCCAGACAGACACTGTTAGCAAACATATGGCTGGACATTATTTGGCACTAAATACTAAATGGGTCAGTCACTCAGGGAGTGTATTTCTATAATGATAAAAATATTATTAGCCTTGTGTATTTCTGTATTTTATATACAATATATACTCACACGCAAAAGAAACGCAAGTCGAGTATGCAGTCTACATGTTATTTATTTAAAGACAAGAAATACTAATAGGGCAAGATTGACAAAAATTTGACTGAAAACAGTTTAATGGATTTAAAGGCAGATGACATAAGTGGGTTTTTTCAAATGTTAAGGGCTTACACAGTTTCGGGTCAATACCATAAATGTCAGTAAATACCTGGTGTGACCACCATTAGCATTGATCACTGCCACACATCTCCTGTACATTGAGTGGATCAGACGATTTGTGAAGGCCCTAGGGATCCTCCTGCCCACATCCAGAGCAGCTGTGCGTAGTTCATCGGCAGTTGTAGGGACTGGGGGCACATTGTGCAGACGCCTTTGAACCTCATCCCACAAGTGTTCGATGGGGTTCAGATCAAGGCTGAGGGCTGGCCACGGTAGAACACAGATGTGTTGTTGCAGACACTGCAAACACGAAAACGTCGTTTTTTTCCGTATATGGTCATTGGACGGAAAAACGACTAAAAATTCATTAAAATTGATTAATTGGTCAGCGTCTAGAAAGTGTCCAGAAAAGGGTCGAGTTTTTCAAGCGTAAAATGGACGGAAAAACGATGCTTTTTGCTCCGCCTTGTACAACTGTTAACGGCCAATCAGATGGCGCTGGTCCCCCGACGCACGTGATGTCCAAGGCTTCCTTTCGGAAGCTTTAGGTTTCGTATTTCTGGGATGCCTTGCTCTAGTATCTGTCGCGCGCAGTGCAGCGAGATTTGCTGATAAGCTAGTTTTAGGATATGTAACATGTTAATGGAATTCAGACACGCGCCAAGAAGTCAAACCAAACAATGTTACTAAGTTTATTGTGGTAACGGCTATGTACAGTTACCCCTATCGGACAATGGGTTGTGTTTCATTTGGTTATAACAATAACTAAGTTTTTAATGTGAAGTTTACTAGATATACGACTTGGACGCGAGGTCGGTCACATGACGTTCTTCACGTGACTGTATTCTTGAAAAGGCGTAAACACTGACTACTTCCACATTCCTGGGGAAAACCCTTGGAATTCCCTGGTACGAATTCATACAGAAGCGTGGTTGCAAGCCCATTTAAGTATACCCTCGCTACAACCCATCCCAGAGAGAAAAAAACACGAAAAATCCAAACTGTCGCAGTGACAATTTACAGAAATCTATGAATTGACCTTAGTATCTGTTTGACACATCTTCACAATCACCTTTCAATGATCGGCCAATTGATCAGTGATGCCAAAGGCTTGAAATAGCCACAGGTTAATTAACAACTTCGAAAATATCTCCCGTCACGTTTATCGTGTCGGCCATTTTGACGTATTGTACTTGATGTAAATGTATTACGACGCTGTCATTGTAATTGACTCACTGAGGTAATTCTGTAAAAGATCTTCTCATCTAATGAGGATATTGTTTAGAATATATTTCTCGTAAACATACTA